CTTAGATTTCTTCAGGGGTTGGAGAGGAGCTGGGCTTCCTTGGGTAAAGCCCTGAAGAAGTAAGCTAAAAAGTCCATGGCATCTTGGGGCCATGCAAGGTGGGTTATTAGCTCAAGTAGGAAGGCGGAGAGGGCCCTGATTCCTGGGCCCTCCTTTTCACTTGAGAGTTTTTCCCTCGAAAGTTGGAAGCAGCAGAGGCCCTCCTCCCCTTCTAGGCCTGCCAGCCTTGCTGGCAGCAGAACTTGTGGTCAGCAGAGCCTGGAGGCCTGATCCTGCCAGATGACCAGATGCACTAGTAGCTGGGTGACTCTCGAGGAGAGTGGTCAAACATTGTGTACCAGGGTAGCCCCACCTCCTACCGGCCTGGGTCAGTCCTGGTTGATAGGGGCCAGGTCAGGTTTATGCCTGTTGTCTGGTCATAAGTATTAATCATGCCGCTTTCACTCTGAAGTGCCCTGCTCGTCTTTTGAAGCTGAGCATACATATCCTGTGATCCAGTAATTCCTCTCCTAGGCACGTACCCAACAGAAATTTGCACATCTACTCACCAAGATATATTCTAGAACATTCATGGCAGCACTATTCACAATAGACCCCCGCCAGAAACTATCCAAATGTCCTTCAACAGAATGGATATAAAATTGTGGTACATTCATATCACATCACTAAGCAGTCCTGAAAATGAACATTCTGCAGCCACACACAGTAGCATGGATGAACCTCACAGACATAAGGGTGAGCAAGGAAACTAACCCAGGAGAATACAAAATATAAGACTCCATATCTCTACATGTGCATAAACAGGTGAAATGAAACGCTGCTTAAGGTTGGGATGGTGGTTACATAGGGGTACTGCAGATGTTGTATTTATTGGTCTGCATGCTGGTGACACAAAGGTGTTCACTTTGTGAAAATGCATCAAGCCAAATACTTAATAGAACTAAATGGAAACATCCACACTAGTTTTTTCACCTACTCAACTAGAAAATGAGCTTAAGAGTCAGCGTCCCAATATATGTAAAGTTAACTCGAACTCCCCATTCCCTGGACATTCCTGTTGGGTTCACTGAAGCTCACTGGGTCGTCCTTAAGGAAACTGTACAGGCTGACTCCAGTAACCGAAAATGCTTCCTGTGGGGAAGACACGTTCTGGTATCGACCAACCCCTCAATCCTCCAGGCCTTGACCATGTCCTTGGCCTGGAATAGCTCCCTCTTCCTGCCTGCCCTGTCCCCAACTCCTCAGCCACCCAACTATCCAAGTCTCATGAAGGCCTGCTCAAGTCCGTCTCCTCCAGGACTTCCCTGACCACCCTGGGCTCCCATCCTCTCCTACTGTAGTTCCTTCTAAGTCTTTAAGCGCCTGACCCCTTGGTCCAAGTTTCAAGAGTGCGGGGGACTTTGTTCACTGATTGTACCCCAAGAATTTGGCCCAGTTCCTGCTACACAGTAGGTTCTCAATAACTACTGAATGAAATGTTTTCTAACATGGCATCTCCTGTACTGCTATTCAGTTTTCTCTAGGGCAGGCTTGATTTTGGTTTCTCTAGACGTGAAATTCGCTGGGACAAGGACTAGATCCTACTCATCTTTTTATCCCTACCACTCGCTCCTCTGCTTAATACTTATTCAAAGGGGAAAGAAAGGCAAGGCAGTGAACTCAGGGAATTTACAATCCAGAAAGCGTGGAGGTGGGGGTCAGTGAGTCGAGTTATTTGGATTTCAAGGGTGTGGGTAATCCTGGAGGGGAACAAGCTACTATATTTATTTGCCTACGAATTTATTTATACCTGCCTCCTTCCAGAGAGGGTTTGAGGTGGCTTACAAAAATACACACAATACAAGGTAAAAAACAAGTCGCTGAGGAAATCAGGCCGAGGGGAAAATAAGAGTAGGAAAAACAAGATCGAATCGCCTTGCTAGAAGTGGGCCAAAAAGTTGGCCAAGTTTTCCCACAGCCCACTCGAGGAGGAAGTCCCTCTCCCCTCCCCGTCCCAGGGGCGGCCGCGCGTCCCACACGGACGGGAGAGATGTACCCGAGAGAGGGGACCGACAGGACCCTCTCCGCACCTCCCCAGCCGCCAGGCCGCCAACCCGGGGCCGGGCCTAGCAGCCTCCGCGGCCTTGGAGAGCGCGAAGTGGAGAGGCGCGCGGCTCTGGGGGGCAGCCTGAGCCCAGACCTGGGTCCCAGGGTGCTGGCGGGGAGCTTGTGACCTGGGAGGGGGTGCTGGAGGCTGAGGGATCGCGCCTCCACGCCACGCCGCAGAGGTTCCCGCGCTCGAAACCTGAACGCCCTCCAGCCACCACCACTCATGGCCTACTAAGCGTGGGCTCGGGGCCCAAGGCACAAAGATGGAGGGAGCGGCGCGATCTACCGGCCCCACCCCCACCCACCCGCCCGCCAGACAAAGGGGCAGGTCGCCCCTCCCCCAGCCTCCTTCGCGGGCCCCGCCGCCCTCTCCTCCCCTCCCCTCGGGCCGCCCTTTGGTGACTTCCTCTCCCCTCCAGGGGCGGCCCCGGGACTTCTCAGGAACTGCGTTTCACCTGGACGCGGGGCGGGGAGCCGGCGCGCAGAGGGCGGCCTCCGGGCCCACCCCTAGGCCGGGCCGGCCCCAGGCCCGCGCCCTCCCCTTTGAACCCGCGCTCCCAGCCCCTGGCGCCTTCCCGCCCAGGCGCCCCCGCCCCCACCCGGCCGAGCACGTGCTGCCCGGGCCCCGAGCGCTTCCCGCCGCACGGGTGGGGGCTGGGCCCACCCCCCGCCCGCTCCCCACCCCCACCGGAAACATTCCTGCCACATTCCTGCAACTGCGAGGCCCAGCCCGCCGCTCCCCACCCCGCCTCCGCGCCGGGCCCAGGGCTTTCCTGCGTCCCCTCCACCGCCGGCTCGCCCCCTGAGGAGGGGGCTGGGCCAGGGCCTCGGCTGACCGGGAAGAAGGGGAGCAGAGAAAAACATGAGTCACAGCCGTGTGTCACTGGAGCGCATTTCAATTCCCTGCATCACAGGAGGTGTGGAAGGCCGCCTCGGGGACCGGGCGCGGGAGGTGCGCCCGAGAAGGCCCCGGGCCGGCCTGCAGGGCGCGCCTCTCCGCCTGCGCCCTTTCCTCCCCCACCGCCCTCCCCGCCATCTTCCCCTTTGGCTTCCTTCTCGCTCGGTGCAACAAGTCTTTGTTAAGCCGGGCGCCAGGCAGGCCAGGCGTGGCGGAGATGGCCTGCGTGCTCGGCCCCTGCCCTCAAAGCGCTTCCAGGCGACCTCTGGCCCACGTTTTATTTTTATTTACAGTCCCAGCGTAAGGGCCCAGGTCCCCAAGTGGGCCTGCGTACCTCCAGAACACCATCTAAGTCACCTCAAGGCATGAAGCTTCCCTTGGGTGTACCTGCCAACGAGCCAATCGTTGGTTTCGCTGGAAGGCTCCACCTTGATCATGGCTCGCTGGTGGCCATTAATAAAACACTTTGGATTTCACAAGTTTCACGTTTGAATTTCACAAGACTTGCATCTCACCAATCAACCACACGCGGGTTGACACTGAAAGGCACATGCTGACACCTGTCCGCCCAGGGGAAATCTACCAGCCCTCTATTTCAGTGAGGGGGCGGCGTGTAGGCCGCGGAACTCTCTAACGAGCGCGTTTCTCTTCACCCCCTCGGCCCGCGTGGACCCCCGTCCACCCCCGCACACCCTGGGGGGGGGCCTGGCCCACACGCCCAGGAAGCCCCTAGAGGTGACTCTCCCTGGGACCACTGTACCAGGGAGGAAAGATACCGCCACCCGTCACCACCCCCCGCGAGAAGCTCCTTCGTGACTCCTCTGTGCGTGCCTTCCCACACCTCCTCCGTCCGGGACTGCGAGGAGTGGGCGGTCGACTCGAGTTCGCAGCCCAGGCCTCCCACACGCCCCTCCCCGCCGTCAGCACCCACCCGCGCGGCAGCGGCGGCTGGCGGGCGGCCGCCCTTTTAAATCCCCGGGCTCATTTGCATGGCCCCGCCCCCTGAGTGACACGGCTGGCGCGGGCGGGCCCGTCCCCCCTGCCCCTGGGTCGCTCTTTTTAAGCTCCCCTGAGCCGGTGCTGCGCTCCTCTAATTGGGACTCCGAGCCGGGGCTATTTCTGGCGCTGGCGCGGCTCCAAGAAGGCGTGAGTTCGCGGCCGCTCCGGTGGCTTCTTTTTTTTATATCTATAATTTAATTAAATTATTTATTTATTGAGGCCGCGCACGGGCCGTGCCCAGCTTCCTGCCCCTCGCCATCCTTCGGGGGAGGGGGAATATTTTTGTCCCCCCGCCTGGCTGTGACACATAAATACCCCGCGGGGGCCTGGGCGGCGAGCACGCGGCGGCGGCGGTCTCTGAGCGCCTCTGCTCTCTCTCCCGGTTTCAGATCCGCATTTGCTACCAGCGGCGGCCGCGGCGGAGCCAGGCCGGTCCTCAGCGCCCAGCACCGCCGCTCCCGGCAACCCGGAGCGCGCACCGCAGGCCGGCGGCCGAGCTCGCGGTGAGTCGTCCCCGGGGCCCGCGGCGGCGGCGGCGGAGGGGGGCGCCCGCGCCCCCGCCCGCACGCCGCCCCTCCTGTGAGCCGCCCGGGGCTGCAGCGCGCGCCGCCGGCTTTATTCCCAGGCCGGGGCGGTGCGAGCCGGCGGCGGGGGAGGGCCGCGCGGCGCGGGGGCGGGCGGCGGGGCCCGGCGGCGCGGGGAGGACGCCCGCACCCCTTCCCCCGCGCCGCGGGCGCCCTGCGGGGGGCGGGGACCCGGGAAAGGCGCGCGGTGGGGGAGGGGGCGCGCAGCTGCGGCGAGCGCGAGTTGTGCACCCGGCGGAGCCCGGAGGAGCCCGGCGCACCTCGCGCGGCGGCCGCTCCCGCCGGAGCCCGAGCCCGGGCCCGGGTGAGGGGCGAGGAGAGACACGGGCTGCGGCGCGGCAGGAGAGTGGGGGGTCGGGCGCCCCCCGCAGCCCAGGGAAGTTCTGGAAGTGAGGGGGATGGGGAGGAACCCCGAAATTCGGCCCTACGCCCTCTCGGCCTTTCTCTCGCGCCCCCTCCGCAGATGAGGCCGGAGCGCGGGCCTGGGTTTGGGGCTTCACCCCGACCCCACCTCTGGCCTGGCCTGCGCCTCTTCAGCCCCAGGGGCCGGGCCTGCCCTCCGCCCCCACAAACTGGTTTCGCTGCTTTGCTGGGCTCTGTTGGAACTAGTCCCTTTGACTCCCCGTTTCTATTTTTTTTTCTTCTGGGGCTTTATTTTGCGGGGAGGGGACGGAGGGAGGGGGCTTTCTTCCTCTCCCCCGCTCCCGCGCGCGCCAGGTTTCCTGCCCCAAGGCGGGCTTGGGTGCCCCCTCTGGCAGGAAGTGGGGCCGGGTGCACCCGCGTGGCGGTGCATGCGGTCGGGGTGCGCTGCTTTCCCGCGCCTGCAGGAGCGGCCTGCGCCCCTCCCCCCGCGCGCCCTGGCCCCTAGTCCCGCCGGCCGGCCTGCAACGGCCAGGCGCAGACACTTGCAGAGTCACCCTGGGGCCGGGTCTGGAGCCTGATGCCTCGGGGGCTTAGCCCTAGCCGCTAGGCGGGTAGGCAAAGTGGCGGGTTGAAAGGGTCTCCGGGAACCTACTTTTTCCTGCTCGCCAACTTGCTGTGTGACCTTCGGCAACTCATCAGGCTTCTCTGGGCCACCATTTTACGGGGGACGGGGAAGAAAATAAGGGAACCCCCAAGATAATTTCCTAGGGCCTTTGCTGCAGAGTCCTTAAATATTCGGGGAGCACACTTTGCGTGCACAGCGTATGGAGGAGATAGGCTTGAGGCCCAAGCGGGCTTATTACAAAGTGAGGGATTGGGGTTAGGCCCTAAATGTAGTTCCTACAGGACAGGCCTCTGATGTTCCGAAACAGGTGGAAGAGACGAGCGTTTCTTGGCCTCACTGGAAAGGGCCTTGGGCCTTCGTTTAGTTCGTGGGGGGTTGGCTGAGGGGGATTAAAGGGTCCCCAGCAGCAAGAGGTGGGGAGGCACCAGATGGTATGAGAGCTTCCAGGGAGACCCGCCAAGATCTCTAGGCAGGCCGGGCCAGGCTCTCTGGGATTCCGGACTGGCTTCGCCCAACTGGAACCCCCTCGATGAGGGGGCCTCGGGCAGACCTTATATGAGGTCAGCACTCGTTTAGTTGATTAATTTTGATGTTTAGTTTGAAGGGGGACCTGTGGTGTAATATAAGATTCTAATCATTGCCTGTAATTGCATAGCAGGCCAAGCCACTAATGATGGAGCAGGATAAATCACCAACCACCTTGTTTAAAAGGGTCTCCAAGTCTGAAACATTATAAGATAGAATAATTAGCAAAGTCCCGCTGTCTGGAGGGTCTCTTGATGCTTGAGAATGGAGGTCCTGGGCCCTCCAGAAATCACAAGTTCGGAAAAATGTTTTTTTCCTCTCATTGGGGTAAAAACTCTTTTTTTTTTTTTCTTCTTTTAAATTAGACACGGGGGTCCCACCGTATTGTCCAGGCTGGTCTCGAACTCCTGACCTCAAGCAGTCCTCCTGCCTTGGCATCCCAAAGTGCTAGGATTACAGGCATGAGTCACCTCACCTGGCCCATAAATCATTTTCAAATGGTCTAGTTCTTATTTTGGTTAGAGTGAAGATTTCTTTCCATTATTTTAAGTTTTTCTAAACTGTTACCTAGTTTGATCCTTGAAGCAGTCAGGAGTAGTTCAGGCAGGCACCTTATAATTACCTTGATCTTACAGATTGAGAGGGTTTCAGAAGTGGAGCCGCTTGGGCCCACCCCTTACTGTGGGCAGGCAGGGATTGGTTACTGGAAAAATGTGGAGCCTAGGCCTCCGGCGTCTCATCTATCTGTAGCCTGTGGGTGATAAGGACTGGGATGAAGATGTGGAGAACTGTCGTTTCTAAGCCTGTAGTACAGGGTGTTCAAAATACTGGTTGCAGGCCATCCTTCCAGTGGGAAGTTTTAGGAAAACTAAAAATTGATAGGGTTAATTAAACCCCAACAGACCCTTAAGAAGAAGGAAGATGCTAGAAAATGACCAAGAAGCTTTTTAGGATGAGCCCTGCCAGGGGGCCAGCTAGGGTCTGTTAGTGCATTTCAGTTGGGAGAATTCCCTGCCCATCTGACAAAGTCCCATCTGACTCCAGTTGGGCAGAGAAGGGGTAAGGGGAAAGAGGAGGATGGCCTTTGGCTTTGGGCTCCCTTTCCTCCCTCACCTCACCCACTGTAGCTTCAACCATCTCCTCCCTCCCTCAATTATACCAATCTTTGAATCGTCCAGGGATTTACCCTGGGTGAGAACAGAGAAGAGAGCTGATGGGTGGGCACCCCCTAGCTATGTGATTGGCTCTTTTTGGTCCTGAGTCTTGGACCTTGCCAGATAGGCAATATTGTCAGTGAGGTGGGCAGGGGATCAATGTCCGTAGCTGCCGGATCGCAAGGTCTCATTCTTTCCATTTTTTTTCTAGTCCCCACTGAACTGCGTAGACTGGGTTTTCTCTTAAAGACAAAGGGCAGCAGTTGGCTACAGAAGGAGGGGATGCTGGCAATATGTCAGACCCCACCTCCCCACACCTTTGTCCCAGGGCGGCCTCACCCATGTAGCTAGGTCTGGGCTGGCTGTACCTCCTGGGACCCCCCCACCCTGCTCCATTGGGGCGGTGTTAAGGCAGGACAACAAAGAGCCCTTCTTAACAGGAGATAGATAAGGAGCTGATTAGGGCCAACGGCCCTTCCCCGCCCTTGGCAGCATCTGGGGGTGGGCAGACCCCTCCATCCTGGGCAGAGTAGGAGGCCTCAGGGCCCCTGGGAGCAGTTTTCTGCAGTGTGCCTCGAAGGTATGGGTGATGAGGAGGTAGAAAGTGGCTGAAGTGAGATGTTTGTCTAAAAGCACTTTTCTGTTTCCTAGCATCCCAGCCATCACTCTTCCACCTGTTCCTTAGAGAAGGGAAGATGAGCGAGTCGAGCTCGAAGTCCAGCCAGCCCTTGGCCTCCAAGCAGGAAAAGGACGGCACTGAGAAGCGGGGCCGGGGCAGGCCGCGCAAGCAGCCTCCGGTGAGTCCCGGGACAGCGCTGGTAGGGAGTCAGGTGGGTGTCCAAACCTTTGCTTCACTCGGTTTACCCTTTGGGGCTAGGGAGGTGCCTGGAGTTTCATTCAGCAGGCGAGAACATGCATGGAGGGTGCAGAATAATTCTGTGCAGTAAGCATGTGGGTGTGTCCTCCCACCTGTGTCTACTCCTGCCCCACTTGCAACTCTGCTCAGATCTCTAGAGACCACCAGGAGAGAACGGGGGGCCGAGGAATTCAAGATGAATTCTGAAGCCAGTGGCAGAAAGTCAAACCTAAAGCACCCCAGAGGTCATGTACCCGGTGCTTGCTTAAAACACTCACCTATTTCTTAATTTCCAGTCCACTGTGGACCGGTGATTTTAAAATGTAGTAAAGATGAATGAACATCCGGATGCAGTGGCTCACGCCTGTAATTCCAGCACTTTGGGAGGCAGAGGCGGACGGATTACTAGGTAGATTGAGACCATCCTGGCTAACACTGTGAAACCCCGTCTCTACTGAAAATACAAAAAATTAGCCAGGCGTGGTGGCGGGCGCCAGTAGTCCCAGCTACTCTGTAGGTTGTGGCGGGAGAATGGCCTTGAACCTGGGAGGTGGAGCTTGCAGTGAGCCGAAATCATGCCACTGCACTCCAGCCTGGGCGACAGAGCGAGACTCTTTCTCAAAAAAAATAAACAAATAAAAAAGATGAATGAACAAAAATAAAAACACACACAGAAGCTCAGGGTTTTTAATAATTAGTTTCAGTGCACGTAAAATGATTTTTGTCAATTTGCTGTAAAGTTTCTGAGTACTTATGGTTGATTCTTGTACTTCCTCATCCCAGGTGAGAAACAGGTACCTACGTGGACCTGCACCTGTTCATGCACAGGCCATGTTATGAGTAGTTCTGGAATGGGCATTGCCCCTGGCACTGTAGATGGAAATTGAAGCCCAAGAAGTCAAAAATGTTGGGGAGTTTGTGTCAGTGACCCTCAGAACCCTGGTGCTGCTCTCCCCACAAGGTCCTCATAGAAGGATGAGGCTGCCAGCCTGGCACTGTGGGGCACCCTAGGGAGCATGGCCACTTGGGCTGGGGGGGCCGTATTGGCCTCTTACAGAGGCAGCTGTCACCCAAGTGAGGGGTAGCTGTTGGTGAAGCCCAGTTACTTCCCTTCCTTGGGGAGGAGGTAAGAGGAGTTGAGGTTGACCTCTGCCCTTTAAACATGATGTAGGTTGTTCATCTGCAGGTTTTCCCTGTCCATAAGGTGGAGAGTGGTCTGTGCTGACCTGGGCCTAGGGAGACATGAACTGTGATGAGTCTGCTGTGTTGGAATTCGGCAGCCACCTTTAGAGCCTGGGGTGGGATCATTTGTCCTCTTAGCCTAGCTCCCTCAGCCTCCCCTCCTACCCCAGCTGTTAGCCATGGTCAGTGGGAGGTGTCAAGCGGGGTGCTGGATTACTGGATCCTGGTTATAGACAGGCCATGGGCAGCCCCCTAGGAAACAGTAGCTGGCGCGCCTTCACCATGTACCTTCTATGCATTATGCAGCAGCTTTTTATTCTATTTAGGGCTTATTAAAATTTCAGTGGGAATGATGGCAGGGATCTCTGGGGTCCGGCTGTAATTCCCCTTATCTGGGGGCAGCCTGGATGGGCTCCAGGTTTGTAAGTGCAGGCAGGGAGTGTGTGTCCAGCATAGGTCATCTGAGAGGGTGGGCAGTGATCACAGGACAGTGCCAAATAACCATACATTACCCATTTAATCTCCATGACAGCCCTGCGAGGGAAGTCTGTACCATTTATAGATGAGGAAACTGAGGCTCCAGCATTACATATCCTGCCCAAGATCAGTGTCAGAACTGACACTTGGGCAGAGCCACCTAACAGTATCTTTCTGTCCCCAGAATGCTTTTCCTAGGGGTCTTCTGGGCTCTTGTCATTTTGCGTCTTAGAAGTCTGCAGGGAGGCAAGGGGAGGGGTGGGAGGCACTTTGCAAAGATGCTCAAACTGGAGCTTTGGATCCTGACGGGATTCCTGGGTCAGAGGTGGTTCTTGGTTCTTGCTGACTTAACCTTGTTGAGGAGGCAGAGGGCTGTGTCTTCTAAGGGGATGGAAACACAGGTAGTGACTGTCCCTGACTATCCTCTCTGTCTTTACAGAAGGAGCCCAGCGAAGTGCCAACACCTAAGAGACCTCGGGGCCGACCAAAGGGAAGCAAAAACAAGGGTGCTGCCAAGACCCGGGTGAGACTTGAGATGGGACCAGCCCTGGGTGGATGACCAGCAGAGGATCCCCTTATTGGCTCCATGGCCACGGCTGTGGGGAGGTCTGGGAAGGGGCTCAGTCATCCCAGTTGTGCACCCCCTTCCCTGGTACAGGGGTGGCAATGAGTCTTTGCTAATTGGGGAGAGTGGGGCAGTGACTAAGGTCTCACTTCTGTGGGGTTGGTCCTGCTCAGGACAATGCGGAGATGAGGTCAGAAGTCCCACGGTTTTCCTGATCTAGAGAAAGGCGGAGTGGGAAGAGTGGAGGGTCCTTGCCAGCCCCTGGGCTGAGAATGTTACCTTCTCCTCTTGGGGTCCCCTGGAGCCTGAAGGGGTGGGGACAGGCAGCAAAGGCCAGATTCACAGTGGCATCAGCCTTTCAGAAAAGTTGTTTTGTTTTTTATTTTATTTTTTCTAAGACACGACTCATATCCTCTGAGTCATGGGTGGAGATGGGAGTAGGGGGCGTGTGTGTATGTTGAGGGGGCAAATGTGGCTGGCCAGTCATCGCCAGCTGGACTTGGGTGGGCCTGTTGGGTGAGAGTGTTGGGCCGCCCTGAACAGGCAGGTAGGTCTGCCCCTCCCTCACCATTGGGCATCAGGTGAGCACTGTTGAGCATTTTGGACTTAGGAGATATTTTCTCTAACCCTCTAGAAAACCACCACAACTCCAGGAAGGAAACCAAGGGGCAGACCCAAAAAACTGGTAGGTGAAGAAGCAGACTGCTGCTTGCCTCGTGGGCTCTTTGAGTGAGGGTATTAAGAGTACACAGTACCTAATGCTATGCATCCCCTATGGAAAGGCTGTCCCTGACCTGCTGGGACATCAGATTTTACAGAAGTCCAGAGCGGGGAGGGTGCCTGGCCTGGGCTGTGCCCATGAGAAGTGAGGGGTCCCAGGTACAAACCAGACCACATCCCCCTGCCCTGCCCTAGTTGTGTGGGGGGTCCCTCTCCTGCTCCTAGAATCCTCAGAACTTCTGGGGGAAATCTGGGAAGTCATCTAGCCTGCATCCCCCTCAGTTAGAGATGAGGAAAGGAAGCCACAGGGCAAGGTTTGTCCTTCCTATCATCCTCTGGAGAAGAGAAACAGTGAAGGAGCTGGGCCCTGGGAGGGGTCAGTGCTGGAGTTCTGATGTAACCCACCACACTGCACTGAAGGGCACCATCCACTTCTGGGCCCTCAAACAGCTGGTGGAAAGGCTCGGTGGGCTGAGTCAGTAGGCTGCCTCTAGGGGGCCACTGCAGTTAGGGTCACCCCAGCCTTCCAGCTCCTGGCCCTCTCTTACCCCCAGCCTGCCCCCTCAAATCCCTGAAGCTGTCATTCCTCGAGCTGAGCCACTGCTGGGGTGGAGGGGGGTAGGGGGTGCTGCTGGCCAGGCCCCAAGAGTGAGTAACAGGAAACAAGTTGTTTTGGAGTTTGTGCCTGGCACGGGGGCTGTAGCCCCGTGTGGTGTCCCGACATTCCCGCCCAGTGAGTGAGCCCCGGCGGCACACACTTCCCCTTCCTCCCCACCCCGGCCTGGGGTCAGCCCTCGGCCACTCCCGAGGGCCAGGGCACCACAGCATAGCATCTGCCCCTGTGGGCCAAGGACCTGGTTCCCCTGGCACCCACCAGAGGGCTCATGTACCTTCCAGCCACCCCTTCCCATTTCCTCCCCCAGCCACCTCCTCCCCACCTCTTCTCCCCTAGGGAGCCAGTCACGTCCTGAAGCTCAGTGCTGCCCTGAGCTCTGTCCTCCTGTGCTCCATGGGCTTAGGGGCCAAGGGGGCTTGGCTTCTGGCTCTGGGTGACAGCAGCATGTGTGTGGGGTTTTTTCCTCCTTTTAAATTCTTTTTATGAATGAAGCCGGGCCGTGGAGGTTGCTGAGTCACCCACACACTCAGCCCTGACTCATCCCTCTTCAGGAGAGCCAGGGAGTGCAGGGAGCGGGTGGGGGCCAGCCTCTGGGGGTGGAAGAGGGGGGCCAGGCCAGAGCTCACACCAACAACTGCCCACCTCGCAGGAGAAGGAGGAAGAGGAGGGCATCTCGCAGGAATCCTCGGAGGAGGAGCAGTGACCCATGCGTGCCGCCTGCCCCTCACTGGAGGAGCAGCTTCCTTCTGGGACTGGACAGCTTTGCTCCGCTCCCACCGCCCCCGCCCCTTCCCCAGGCCCACCATCACCACCGCCTCTGGCCGCCACCCCCATCTTCCACCTGTGCCCTCACCACCACACTACACAGCACACCAGCCGCTGCAGGGCTCCCATGGGCTGAGTGGGGAGCAGTTTTCCCCTGGCCTCAGTTCCCAGCTCCCCCCGCCCACCCACGCATACACACATGCCCTCCTGGACAAGGCTAACATCCCACTTAGCCGCACCCTGCACCTGCTGCGTCCCCACTCCCTTGGTGGTGGGGACATTGCTCTCTGGGCTTTTGGTTTGGGGGCGCTCTCTCTGCTCCTTCACTGTTCCCTCTGGCTTCCTGTAGTGGGACCTGGGAGGGTTCCCCTGGCCTTAAAAGGGGCCCAAGCCCCATCTCATCCTGGCCCGCCCTACTCCACTGCCCTGGCAGCAGCAGGTGTGGCCAGTGGAGGGGGTGCTGGCCCCAGCATTCCCCCAGCCAAACTGTCTTTGTCACCACATGGGGCTCACACTTTTCATCCTTCCCCACCTTCCCTAGTCCCTGCACTAGGTTGGGCAGCCCCCTTTGGCTCCAGGAAGGCAGGAGGGGTGTGTCCTTACTCCCGCTTCACTGTGGCCACAGCCCCCTTGCCCTCCGCCTGGGATCTGAGTACATGTGGTGGTGATGGAGATGCAGTCGCTTATTGTTCAGGTGAGGCCCACGAGCCCTGTGGCCGTCACCTGAGGTGGGCTGGGGCTGCTCCCCTCACCCTACTTTGCTTCCGCCACTCAGCCATTTCCCCCTCCTCAGATGGGGCACCAATAACAAGGAGCTCACCCTGCCCTCTCCCAACCCCCCTCCTGCTCCTCCCTGCCCCCCAAGGTTCTGGTTCCATTTTTCCTCTGTTCACAAACTACCTCTGGACAGTTGTGTTGTTTTTTGTTCAATGTTCCATTCTTCGACATCCGTCATTGCTGCTGCTACCAGCGCCAAATGTTCATCCTCATTGCCTCCTGTTCTGCCCACGATCCCTCCCCCAAGATACTCTTTGTGGGGAAGAGGGGCTGGGGCATGGCAGGCTGGGTGACCGACTACCCCAGTCCCAGGGAAGGTGGGGCCCTGCCCCTAGGATGCTGCAGCAGAGTGAGCAAGGGGGCCCAAATCGACCATAAAGGGTGTAGGGGCCGCCTCCTCCCCCTGTTCTGTTGGGGAGGGGTAGCCGTGATTTGTCCCAGCCTGGGGCTCCCCCTCTGGTTTCCTATTTGCAGTTACTTGAATAAAAAAAAAATATCCTTTTCTGGACTGGAGTCTACTGTGGTGTGTGCCCCTAAAGCCTGGGGCAGGTAGGGTAGGTGACACTTGTGTTCTGGCCCTGTCCTTCAGGCTGTGGGAAGGGAGGGGAAACAGCACTGGAATCACCTCAGAGGAAGGTCATTTTAAGCCTCTTGATGAAATCAACAAAACCCCTAGCCACAAAACGTTTTATTTACAAAATATATACTGAATACTATACATCTGGCCCCATCACCATGGAAACAACTCCAAAGCCCTCCTGGGTATTTATGCCCAAGCCAAGCCCAGGAGGGCTAGAGAAAGCAAAGGTGTCTCCCAGCCACCCCCATCCCAGAAGGAAAACCTCCCATGAGTGCCTGTGGGTGGGCAGTGAGCTCGATACCCACAAAGGGCAGAAGGCCTGGGGGCAGTGAGGTGATGGTGAGGGCGTGGGAAGCAGATGCTGAGGGTGGGTGGAGGGAGAAATGGGAGACCCAGCACCCAGCAGGGGGAGCCAGGGGAAGCAGGCTGATGGCAGGGCCCCAGGCAGTCCAGGACGGCAGGCTCTGAAGGGTGGGGCAAGGGGGTCAGGTCACGTCTTGACATCCAGCAGCGGCATCCGCTTGTGCTGGTAGCCACTCTGCCAGCCATGTACCACCTGTCGGGCAAGGGACCACACCACAAGGCTGGGCTGTGTTCCCTGGGAGTCTGCAGCACTCAGTTACAGCCCAAGTAAGCAGAACCAGGCTCTGGTTTCAGTGTGGACGAGTATGGCTGGGAACAGGGCTAACCCCCACCTTGCCTCATTCTCCCCCTGGTGCCCAAGTGCTCACCTTGGGGTCTCCCATGTCAGAGAGCAGCTCCTGCTCAGCCTCATGCAGTTCCTCGGCTGGGTCATAGCTGTACATGGGGAGCAGGTGATGGCGCAGCCGGTCCACCCTGGGGAGCAGGGGAGGGGACTCAGCCTAGGAGGCCCCCCAGCCCTCATCAAACACCTGGCTGCCCCATCTCGCCTCCCTCTCCCAGGCAGGGGCACTTCCAGTGGGTGCCTTTTGGGACACACTATAGTTCCAAGAATACAACCCTGATTCTACAAAGGGGCTTTCCCCAGTGAGTAACCTCAGGCTGGGGCAAGGAAAACAAAATTCAGGCTTGTATCAGGATGGCTGAGGGACATCTTACAGAAAACTCAGAGCCTATGAGCAGGAATTTCAGAATGGGTGTGGGGATAGGGCAGGTGGGGAGACAGGGACACTCACCGCTTTTTCTTCTGTACATACATCACCTGCAACAGAGACACAGCACTATGGGGGCTGCTGAGCCCGGGAAGGCCCACAAGCAGAGAGAGGCCCACCTCCACACCCTTCATTCCCTCAACAGGACAGTGGGGACTCTGTGCAGACTGGACCAGGCCCACCCAGCCCCTGCCTTAGCAAAGCTGTGGGTGTCTGTGTGTGTATATGAGGGCTCCTTACCACAGCCACCACCACCCCGACCAGGGTGATGAGGAAGAAGGGCCCCAACACATAGCCCACCATGGAGTCGCTGTTGGCCTGGGGGGCATTGGGCACAGTGGTGTTACTCATGACATCAGCAGCCGGAGGGCTGGGTGGTTGGTCAGCATGGGCAGTGGCACTTCGGGAGGGCGCCTCCACTGGGCTCCCTGGGGAGGAGGAAGGGAGGTTATCAGTTGCACCCAGGTGACATCCAGACTCTGGATCCCTTCCCCAGAGCTGGAGATCTATGAAAACTGGTCCCAGGTCAAATCCTGGGAGGAGGGATCCTCCAGGTAGATGTACCGGGTATAACCCTCCAGTGAGTCTTGGCAAATCCTGGCAGGAAAGGGGATCAAGGGAAGGCCTGGATCCAGGGCTGAGTCCTGCCCAACTCCTATCCCTATATCAGGGCGGGGCCCAGCTAGAGACATTTACAAGTCTCAACTGGGGAAAGAAGTGCAGGTTTCCAGTGCCTGCCCCAGCCCTTTTGGGGCATTGGGCTGCCAGTACCTGTCCAGTGGAGCAAAATGGATAAATGAGGTCTAAAGGAGGGACCTGCACTGCAGCCAGGGGTGAGGTGGGAGCATCTGAAGGAGTTCCGCTTCCATCCTGGTCCAATCCCACTTCAAGCGATGGGCTCCATGCCTGAGTTATATGCCCTTGTCCCTGGTGTCACCTCAGACATACAGCCCGAACACCCTCTGCCCCATCGGTTTCGTGTGCCAGGGTGGACACGAGTGGGTAAAGCTGGATTGTATCTTCAAGATGATGTCACCTTCCTCTTGTCTCCACCCAGGGCTCCGCCCAGGTCCCTCCCCTCCTGGCCTGGGCTGACAGGCAGAGGTGGAGAGGGTCAGTCCCCATCGACAGAAGCAAAGAGATCGTCCTGGGGCGGTTTGCACGCTGATGGCCCAAGGTCCGCGACCCAGGTTCGCTTGAGTCTCTATCAGAGGGCAAGGTATGAACGACCTACCCCCGTGTCCGTAGGGCACGGGGCATCGAGCTTGCCCTTACCCAGTCGTATGCTCATCGTCCCAGGCCAAGGGGGCATGCCAGGGTGGGGAGGGCGTCAGGCCGCTGCTAGGATGCGGGCCAGCAACAGCGGACAGGAGGTGGTTCCCACGGCGCTGGGAGGCTCAGGCCGGAGGTGGGGGGTGTTGGGGGACGCGGATGAGCCGCCCCGCGCCCGAACATCCTGGAAGCCTGGCACCCCGAGGCGTGGACCCGTGCCGGCGCTCTGCAGCCCAGCCGGCCTGGCCATGCCTTACCTCCCGCCGCTGCAGCCCCGACAGGAACGCCCTCGGTTGGCTCCCCGGCCCCGGAAAAGCCGTCAGGCGCGTGATCAAAGGACCCGGGGAAATGGGCCGGGCCTTAGCGCCCGGGCGCAGCCAATCCGGTAGCGGAAAGCGGGTGGCCTGGAGATTTCTGGAGCCGCCAATCCGGAGGCGGGGGTGGGCGGTGCGAAGGCGGGGACAGCGGGGCTTGCAGGGTCCGCCCCGCGGCGGCAGGGGGCAGCCGAGGGCTACGCAGCGGGGGAGGAGCGGGCGGCTCGGGGCAGGATTGGGCAGGGCGGGGCGCGCGCAGTTTTCCGGAGGCCCCTGGCCCTCCCGCGTCAGGAGCTCTGATTCCGGGAGATCCCCGGCGACCACCTCACTCACCCGTCTCGTTGCAGCCAGAGTAGGGTCGCGCCGCGCTCTAACGTTGAACTCAGGCCCTTCGCGGCAGGACCCTGTTCCGGGCCCACTCGGCCTCCTTCTGTGTTTGTTCCCTGGCCTTCGGGCTGTGCTCGACTGGTAGAGTGCGGCAGGACTGGGCTACCGGGGGCCCTAGCACGCCCACCCTCTCTGCGCCTTTTTTTTTTTTTTTTTTTTTTTTTTGAGATGGAGTCTGGCTCTGTCGCCCAGGCTGGAGTGCAGTGGCGCGATCTTGGTTCACTGCACCCTCCGTTTCCTGGGCTCAAGCGATTTTCCTGCCTCAGCTCTCCAGTAGCTGGGATTATAGGCGCGCACCACCACGCCCGGCTAATTTTTTTGTATTTTTAGTCGAGACAGAGTTTCACCGTGTTGGCCAGGCTGGTCTCGAACTTGTGACCTCAAGTGATCTGCCTGCCTCAACCTCCCAAAGTGCTGGGATTTCAGACGTGAGCAACCGTGCCCGGCCTATTGTGAGGATTAAATGATGACATGAGCAGGGAGCTTACCACATAATATCCCCTGAAATGTTAAGTTCCTCCTGTTCACCTGTTGTCGGTTTTAGGGAACACACGAAGCGGTGGGGTGAGGTTCCCCTGGGTCAAAGGCAACTTGCTAAGTTGGTAAACTTGGATCAAAGCTTTTGTGGTCTTATCATTAAAATGGCACACATTTACTGGGAAAATCTGACTAAGGCCAGTGGAATTTACCAGTGTCAATATTCTGGTTGCGATTATTACAGTTTTGTAAAACGTTATCATTCTGGGATTTTTTTTTTTTTTTTTTTTTTTTTTTGAGACAGAGTCTCGCTCTGTCACCCAGGCTGGAGTGGGAGTAGCTGGAACTAGGGGCGCCCACCACCAGGCCCGGCTAATTTTTTTGCATTTTTAGTAGAGACAGGTTTCACTGTGTTAGCCAGGATGGTCTCGATGTCCTGACCTCGTGATCTGCCCACCTCGGCCTGCCAAAGTCCTGGGATTACAGGCATTGGGGGAATTTAAGCAAAGTGTACACAATCTTTCTGTATTATTATTATTATTATTATTATTATTATTTGGAGATGGAGTCTTGCTCTGTCAAGCAGGCTGGAGTGCAGTGGCACGATCCTGGCTCACTGCAATCTCCGCCTCCCAGGTTCAAGTGATACTCCTGCCTCAGCCTCCCGAGTAGATGGGACTACAGGTGCCTGCCACCATGCCCGGCTAATTTTTGTATTTTCAGTAGAGACGGGGTTTCACCATGTTGGCCAGGCTAGTTTAGAACACCTGACCTCAGGTGATTCGCCCACCTCAGCCTCCCAAAGTGCTGCAATTACAGGCGTGAGCCACCGCACCCGGCCTCTCTGTATGATTTTTTTTTCTTTTTTTTCTTTTTTTGTTTTTTTGAGACGGAGTCTCACGCTGTCACAGGCTGGAGTGCAGCGGCGCGATCTCAGTTCACTGCAAGCTCCACCTCCCACATTCACGCCATTCTGCCTCAGCCTCCTGAGTAGCTGGGACTACAGGCACCGGCCACCACGCCCAGCTAATTTTTTGTATTTTTAGTAGAGACGGGGTTTCACGGTGTTAGCCAGGATGGTCTCAATCTCCTGACCTCCTGATCCGCCCGCCTCGGCCCCTCAAAGTGCTGGGATTACAGGCATGATCCACCGCACCCAGCCCTCTCTGTATGATTTCTTACAACTATATATGAATCTACAGTTACATCAAACATGTATGTGTGTGTATACATATGCATATATATATATACACACACACACACACACATACATATATATAGTTTTGTAGCAGACCCTCCTCTACCCCCCCAAAATCACACGCGATTGGGAAAACTGACTGGCAGA